CCCGCCGATGGCCTGCAAGGTGGTCGACGTGGGGCTGGACCTCTCCGACAGCACCAAGCTGGCGGACGTGAAGAACGAGCTCTTTGTCCTCGAGAAGGTGAAGCACCCGCACATTGTGCGCATGTTCGAGCACTTTGTCGTCAATGAGCACCTGTACATCTTCATGGACTACGCCGACCTGGGCAACCTCTACCGCTTCATGTACCTCCACCAGGGGCCGCTGGCGGAGGAGGAGGCGGTGCGGCCGTACGCGCAGATCGTCAGCGGCGTCGCCTACATGCACGCCCAGAAGATTGCCCACCGCGACCTGAAGCTGTCCAACATTCTCCTGAAGACTCTGACAGCTTCCGGTGGTGAAGAGGGAGGTGGTGGTGGTGGTGACAGCGTCGTCATCCTCATCGCCGACTTTGGCCTCAGTCGGGTGGTGTACCGCCGCCGCAGTGGCCTGGTCACCTGCAAGAGCTACTGCGGCACGCCCAACTACATGGCGCCCGAGTTGAAGGTAAACAAAAGTTATCTTCAAACTCTCCAAAAAAACTCCTTTTTATCTTCTTCTTTTTTCTCTTGCACCAGCACCGCCAGCAGTACAACGCCTTCGACATTGACATGTACGCCCTGGGGGTGATGCTCTTCGTCATCGTCCAGGGCTGCTACCCCTTCGACCACGGCGACGACGAGCGAGCTCTGGCGCAGGCGGAACGCCTCGAGATTCAGTGGAACCGGGAGGTGCCACTTTCGAAGGCCGTTCGCGACCTTCTAGTAGGGTTGATGCAGCCAAGTGCCACCAGGCGGATGTCCATGCGTCAGCTGCTGGCGGACAAGTGGCTGGCGAAGGAGATGGCCAGTCTGGCGGCCATTCTGCCGCCACTGGAGATGCTGCCGCGGAAGGTGGCCGCCGCCTCGAGGCGTCTCTCCTCGCCGATGGACGACCTGCGTCTGCGAACTACAAAGTCCTCGGACGGAAAACGAGGCAACCAGGCCAACGCCAAAAAGGCACTGCTCAACAAGAGCTCCAAGGTGGTGAGCACCAGCAATCAGGAGGGAAAGTCCACCGGACAGCTTCGCCACCGTCCCAAGTCCTCGGCGGCGGCGATTGCAGCCAAGTCTTCGGGCGGACTCACCAAAGTTTCAAAGCCTCGATCGGCGGCGGCGGCGGAGAAGCGCAGCGCCTCCTTTCGAAGCAAGCAGCGAGTGCCCAGCTCCTCTGACCAAGTGTCCAAGGCAACTGGGGCAAAAAGTGCCAACAACTCCAAGCGAGTCAAAAGTCGCAAGGGCAGCAGCACTAGCAGCAGCAGCAGCAACTTCTCAGGCCGTTCTAATCCTCGAGGAGGAGGTCAGAGCGGGCAGCAGCGTCATGCCAAGAATTGAAGTGCACATGTCACAAGAAGAAGTTAAAGTGATGCCCACTTTTATCACTTCACTTGTGCTCTGTCATTCTGCAGAGGCTCTCTTGATTTTCATGCTTTCATTTTTGTATTCAAAAAGGTGTTTTTGCACCTTTTATTTGCAAATAAAACATTTAAACACATTTACAAAGTGTCGTAGAAAATAAGCAAAGATCATATCGTTCTCTCTCTCTCTCTCTC